AATGCGTCTGTTCCGAGGAACAACTTTGTCCACGAGCGGAGAATTAAACAGCGTTATCACTGAACTAGTTATGTGGTCAGATTGTTATAATTCTAATTACGAAATACTTTCTTGCGATGTAATCATTATACTACTGCCCTAATTCTTAAATCTGATAAAAATTTACAACTATTTCTTTCAGTAGCCGTACTTTTCCTAAGTACATATAGAGTTTTGTCATTCTCTTCTTTTTTTTAATAAATGAAAAATTTAATTTATATATACATATATAGTAATTAGAAAACAATAAAAAAATTTTAATCCTATTTCTTCATTGTCACGTAGGCAGACCGTTTTATTAAACATGCCTCTTTTAAGGAATAAACCTTTAACATCTGGAAAGGAAAACTCTCAGGCAAACAGGCCGCTTGCTCTTGAAATAAACAGAAGGCCCAGCGATGACAAAACCAAATGTTTTAGGAAAGCAGTGGATCCACCGTAATCACGCAACAGCTGCAACCACTTCAAACCGTCGCCGAAACAGATGGGCCCAGCCCGATCATCTAAATGATAACCAGATCACCCCTTTCTAATTAGTATATAAACCCGTTCATACCAATGCTCTGGGGCAGTACCGAAGTTCATCTACATCGTGTACGATTGTGAGCTGGTTGTTGTTTAGTGAGATCGGGTTGAAGTCCCTTTTGAGCAAAGTTAACCTTATAGAATCTGCGAGTACAGTCTGTGTTTCTATTTGGTATTCTTAACAACCACACACGACACCCCGCATTGTCAGTGTGTCAAAACCGAGCACCCAGCGGAAATAGGTAATATACTATTATACATATATATATATATATATACACCCATAACGCGACAAGAACAACTGTAATAGCCTGATGTGTAAAATATATACATTACTGTGTCAAACCCACATTAGCATTCTTTTTCGACCCAGTGAAAACTAGTGACAGTTCCCACAGCAATACAATCTAACCGCTCATAGGATAATATAATGTAAGTTACGCGGCCTCTCATCCGAAAGCCTCCGCTAGCCTCACGCGCTGCCTAGCGATCAGCTACGTAACATCATTGACGTAAACGTTTGTACAGTATCGAGAAAAGTAGCCTCCCCTAGGAAAAATGGCGGCGTAGGGAAAGCAGAAGTTACTAACATTTTTATTTTAACAATATTAATGTTAAAAGTAATTCGGAAATAAAATAATATAATTTTTATTAATTATTAAATATTATAAAATTTAGTATATACATAATAACATAAATATCAATTCAAATTCTCCTGCGTAAATTTTCATATGCGAGTGCTGACCATACCTATATATCGTAAAAGTCTTTAATTAATTTGCTGTAATTTTTTATTTTCGGCTGTAAGGTCTGGTATTCCATATCACTAAGTCAGTAACGTCCAGTTTCACAAAAGCTATCATACTCTACTCGACGCTACTGGGGGAAGGTAGAAAGGTTAATTAACTATCCTATTCAAAAACTAAAAACCTGTTTCTTCTAATATTTACGAAAAATTCAGAAGACATTGTTGGAAGTAAAAAATGAAACAAAACATAGACTTAATATTATCACAAGAATTATAAGCTATGAAAGAAAGACTTTTAATCCCCCTGCCGGACGAAGGTCAATTAAAGTTATCCCACCAATTTCGTTCTTCTTCGACAAGATAAAAATCGAAGGCTAAGAATAAAGCAACAAGCTGAAAAATTGGTTGTTCAAGAAACAAAGAATCGAATAAAGCCTTATTTGTTTCTAATCAACGAATTACATCGTCTTGAACGCCGGTGAACATCCGGTCGGTTTAATTTCAACCTCTGTACTTTCAACGGACCTCCTTCAAGGAACAGGGACAAGGAAACGCGAATTACACAAACGTAGTCCCCATTAATCTCGCAGACCATCAAATTAGATTAAACCTTAAAAGACACTCCAGTCCTTACAAGGGAACTGCAATTGAATCGGTGCTCGATTACCTCATTGCAGCATGCTCTTGGATAATTTGCAATATGGTAATTTGATGGTTAACAAGATGCGAGAGTAATTACAATTTTGTACCTTTGAAAGTGTAATCTCATTAAATTTTAATATTATGAAATTTGAAGCTTCGAAAATTTTGTAATTAATTTTCCATCAGCGCAGTCTTCAAAAAGATAAACAAATAAACGATATTCATATTTCTTGATTCGTATCAAAATCGCGTTCATGATATCCGAGCAATTGTTTTAACCGGAAGAGACGCTCGTTAATTATTCCGGGCGCAGAAAGAATGGCTCGGTTAAAATTTCAAGCGTTCAAACAGCAAGATGAGACCATGCGGACGCGAGAGGAAACCGCAAAAACCGAGTCATTAGGGAAACAATACCTATCGCAAATTTCCTTTTTTGTTCCTCCTCTCTTCGCCATTGTCCAGCCGAGGCAAACATTTTTATTGCCACGTGGTACAGGTTCGCGCTATTTATATCATAGAAACAACTCGTTTAGCCGTTAGAGAAAAAGAATACAAAGAGAATTAAAATTGTTTATCGAAACAGTCGATTAAAATGCAAAAATAGGGATGATCCTCGAGAGAAGAATTTCTTCGCGATAAGCGAGGAAGGACTGATCGATAGGCGCGAAAGGACGACCAAGAAAAAAGAAAATTGCTTTAGAAATGAGGGGCGAAGAAGGGAAGCCGTACAGGAAGATCGGCGCTTCCGGCGAATGAAACGTAATGCAATTACCACGGACTGAAATCGCGTTTCGAAAAATCGAATTTGCCACCGAACGAATCGGTCAAACCGTCGACTCGTAATACTGGAAAGCATAGAAATTTGTGCTCTAATTTGCTGTAAATCTTATTTCAGGAACGTTTAAAGTTAGGAAATTTAACCATCGGATAGCGCGGCGGACCATGGAGAGAGCTTCAATATTAATTCAATTTTACAGTTTCCCTAGAAATTGTTCTTCCAACATATGAAACTCTTTCCTTTAAAAATTAGGTATACATTTAACTGTAGGTTAATGTCATTGTACAGGGTGTGCCGTAATTGATGGTACAACCGGAAAGTGAGTGAGTCTACATGAAAAAATAAATTGAAAATATGGAATAAAATTTGTTGATATGAAGTTTTATTTTAACGAAAACCGACTTGGTACATGTATACTTAATTACCTTAAGTACGTATTAAACTCAATGAGGTGTGCACTGAAGTCATATTAAATCAATTACTGTATTCTGATAAAATTACAACGTTTGATCAAATAAAGCACAGAAACACATTAAGTATCCATAGAATACGAAGAATAGATACCTATGTGTATTTGCCAGAGTAGAAATTATTAAGGTAATTATTATTACCTTAAATTAGTAACCATTCTTAAGGTAATAAAATTTATCACTATGTTTCCAGTACCTTATATAATAAACGTAATTATAAGTAAACATTAGTTCACAGCAAAATTCATTAAATCAAAATACAATTAAATGTGCAAATACAGAACAAATATTAATATAAAAAATGTTTTATATTTTCGATCTAATTTTTCACATAGAATAATCTCCTGTATGACACCCTGTATATATTTTGTAAGTCTAGGTCTTAATTGACCCAGACTCCCCTGTTCAAGGGTCAAATGAATGTATGAGTTGTCCAGAAAGTTCGTGCCGATTTTGAAGCAGCACATTTAAATTTATTCAATTATACATATAGGTGCTATTCTGTTTCACAATCTTTTCCCATCTTTCAGGCTACTTGAAAAGTACGTCCTTCCAGAAGCTGTCAAGTTTTTCGGCAAAAAGCATTTTGAAGTAGAAATCGTCCTTTTGACTGTAACCGCTCCTAGAAAGCGATGAAATCATCGTAGATCATTCAATAAAGAAGCAGTAAAAAGAACAGACTTTTCTCTTTAAGATGCGTCTCTCTCTTTTTCGATTTGATGAACATTTTGATGTACCAGGTCTTTTTAGCGACAGACTTCAAAACCGCACAATTTCCATTTTATCTTCAACTCGCTGTATCTCGGCAAAGGATAGTCGTAGTATCATGGTCTTAAGTTCATTTTAAAGCAGAGAATTTGCCGATTCGGTTGAGCCCCAAGCGAATGCACTGTGACAATGTTTTACCCATGGCCAATACGTTCAAAGTTACCTACCGAAAATCGGTACGAACATTCCGGACAACTTAAATTGGGTTCAAATTGTCATAGGATCTTCAATTGAAATATTCAAGCCTATTTATCGCCATAATTTCCAGTTTCACATCCCATGAAATACTTCAATTTTACAGTGAAAATTACAGAAGGAGTTCACCGCGAGGCGGTTAAATTTCTGAGCTAGTGATCAGTCGGTCGGGTCGAGTTTGTCGCTGCCAAACATCAAGGTAGGAGGTCGACTCGTTCCAAAACGACACTACGACCCTTCTCGAGACGTATCAAAGCGAGGAAAACGTACACGGGTCGCATACGTTCCCGGTAACTTGGAATCCCGTGTATGTATTATGCAATGAAGCTGGAGTGCTCCTCGACTCGTAGCTCTCGTGCTCGCGCGTGCACGCCACGCGAACAGATCGAAAAGACAGGCCAAAGGATAGAAGGAAAAATAGAGAAAAGAAAAAGAGAGACTGACGTGTTTGAACAGACACGCGACACTCGTGTTTGCTTTCTCTTTCTATCTTCATTTTCCACCTTTCTTTTTCGTAACACACACATACACAGCATATTTCCAACTTCGCTCTGTGTTTCGTTCTTTCCCATTGTCCTTCTTCTTTGTATCGTTCTACAATGGAACTCGGCATGGATTCTACCCTCTCCGACCCTTCGTCCTGGCCGAGGATTGAAGTGTCATTCATTTTCGAATTGCGCGAGATTCCGCGCGTCGAAAGAGTGCTGCCGTACCTCTATCTTCCTCCTTTCCCACTCTCTTTTCCTCTTGAGTAATTCTTACCCCGTCACCGGGACGCGAGAGATCGCGAACGAACATGGCACCGTCGCGTCGCGTCGCGTCGCGTCGCGTCGCGTCGTTCGCGACAGAAATTACACGGTGAAACGAAAACGTCGCCGCCGATCGAACAAAAATAGATCGAGATAATGGGAAATACTACACACTGCTCCGTTCGATTGGGAAAGTTTTTCAAATGGGGTTGAAAATGTGTTTGAGCGATTAAAATGTCGGTGCTGATCTTAGCACGAAGCATATAAACCTATGAACAGCGAAGCATGGGTCAATTGTGACCCAAACTTATAAAACGTATACAAGGATATTAATCCAAAGTTAAGTGTATCATTTAGAAAATGTAAATAACATGAAATGCAAAATTAAATTAAAATTGGGGCTTTCTCTATGGTCCGCCGTTCGAGAATTAATATTACTAGTGTTAAAGTTAAATCCTAGTAAAGTTTGAAAAAAGGTAAAAGGTAAAAGGGAGCAATTTTACATATTATATTTACGATTATATTATAAAATATAGACCATTGGGTTAGGTTAAGATAGGCTTGCACTTTCTCTATCATAATAAAAAAAAAATTAAGTTAGATTATTTGATTTGCTCAGATAAAATCCTGGATTTACTCGGCAAAAATAAACTAAGTTCTTTGAACTGACTACGCAATAAGTTCCATGAAAGTCAAGGAAAGGAACGAAACTGTTATTGGACGTGAATAATTCATGACAAACGTGTAAGCAAATCTGTATCTCATCCATCTTCCATCATCCCGAGGACACTCAGGCTATTACAACTCCGTCTAGACGAAACGTTCCATCGTTCTTGATCGTTTAATAAGGAATACGTAATGTTCTCTTACTCGTCGCTGTTTCAGCGAGACACGCGTTCACCACGCTCGCCTTAAGGGTCGTATAAATGGCTTATTAATTATAGCGAGTTTTACGATAACGACATAACGAATTAACGAGCGACGACGAGCAATGATCGTAACACGCTTTACAACGTATAATTACGTGCAAACATGATACAAGGGTCTTCACGGTAGACGGGACTGAATATCTTCTCTGTACACAACGGTAAGGATGCTAACGTTTCGTTCAATTAATACACTGCGCAAGTATCTTGTATATATATGTAGTTATCTCATGTATTATTTTCTGTATCTCAACGACAGCTTTATGAAAACACGACGACATAAAAATCATTTTTTAATGGTCGTAGGGTAAATTGTGTCACCGACTGTCCTAAGGGCTGACCTCTTAGACGTATTTTACGCTTGAATTTCGAAGGGGAAGAGGTTCTGGCACGAGAAAAACCAGCTGAGCGAAAAGTTGCGGAAGTTACTGCGTTCCAAGGAAAATCGACAGAACCTTTCGCGAAGATGATGAAAAATATGTAAAATTCATCCGCACCTTCCTATTTTTTTATTTCTTAAACAGTGAGTAGTGCACATTTTTGTAAAAAAAAAAAATTAAAAATAAAATTAAAAATGAAATGTACTTCGACAAGTTACGATACATTTTAAAATTTAACGGCTGAGTGCATCCCTTGCTATTTTTTATTAAAACAGAAAATTGAAATTGGATTTGTTGCATAAGATTAAGAAAGGTACGAATAATACCGCACAAAATCGGTACCTCTTTTAACTCGGAAACGTTTTATGCATATCATAAAGCAACGAACTGAACGAGGGTTGCCGGTAAATCGAGGCAACGTTAGCGAAACATCGCTGTGAAGGGTCCAACAATAAGAAAGTGGAAGGAAAGTGTTGCTAGAAAGACGAGAAATAACAGGGGCGGAGTAAAAATGCATCGTTGGACGATTTTACGCTTCGAATAGACACGCCAAATCCCTCTGCAGTTGTGTATACTGGGTGTCGTGCGATTGACGGTACACTGGCGAGCAAATCAGGCTTTCATAGGGAAAGGAGGAAATCTTAAAATACGATATTACTATTAAAAGAAATTTAGAAAAAAATAATATAATTTTTAGTTATTGTATATTATAAAATTTAATATAAACTAAGAAATATCAGTAAGATATACAGGGTGTCCCGTAACTCCTGTAACTCCCGGACATGGGGGGTTGCTGCGGTGATTCCAAATAACATTTTCCTTTACCAAAATGTCGTTTGGAACTTCGTTTTTGAGTTATTAACGAAAAACACTGGCCAATCAAAGGGCGTGTAGAGCGCGCGCTGAACCACGGGAGTGTTGGCTTTCAGTAGCGCTCGGTCGTGGTCGTGAACAAACGCATTGGCACAGTGTGGGTATCAAGGGAAGCGTGCGATAAATGTTACATCATAAATGTTCTTAAATTAAGAACAATGTGGAATTATTGGTTACTCATGAACAACGAATAAAATAATGAATCGTTCATGTAGAATGAATAAATCGAATTGATCCAACACTTTTATTCGATGTTCGACACAGATAAAAAAAATACTATGTAGTAACTTTTGAAAAAATGAGAAAAACGAATACACGTTTTGGAAATCAAAATAAGTTTGTAAATAAAAAAAAAGAATTGAAGGTAAATGAAACTTACCCATTCGTCTGTAAATGACCAAGCTGCAATGAAAATAATTTGCAGTCATCGGGTCATTGTATCGATCCTGAACATTCGAGGAGGGAACACATTATCAAGAACAGCTGATCTCCAGACCAGATCATTGAATTCACTCAACCACATGGTCACTATCACCCTTTACAGAATTTTTCAACGTGGTTCGATTCGAAAGGGTTCGATTTTTTCACGTAAATAAACATTTTTATTCACTGTCACGTGGCTGTTGCACTGGACACAAATGAAAAACATGTAATATTCCGCACTACTTCGTAACGTTTTCACGACGTTATTGGTCTTCCTTTCTAACTTCAAATGGAACTGCTATGTAGCTTGAGCGTCTTCGAAAACTGTTTCGCTTTTTGTCTTTTTCTACATTCAGAAATAGGTCATGGTTCGTGGTCATAAATCTGTTATTCTCGGTAACCAAGAATAACCGAGAGAGACTCGTGTCGACCCTTTGAATATTGCCGAACGTAGAAAAAGACAAAAAGCGAAACATATCTCGCAGACGCTCAAGCTAGTACAAGTTCCATTTGAAGTTGGAAAGGAAGACCAATAACGTCGTGAAAACGTTACGAAGTGTAGTGTGGAATATTACATGTTTTTCATTTGTGTCCAGTGCAATAGCAACGTGACAATGAATAAAAATGTTTATTTACTTGAAAGAATCGAACCCTTTCGGACCACGTTGTGAAATTCTCTGGAAGGTGATAGTGACCGTGTGGTTGAGTAAGTTCAATGATCTCGTCTGGAGATCAGCTGTTCTTGGTAATGTGTTCCCTCTTCGAATGTTCAGGATCGACACAATGACCCAGTAACTGCAAACCATTTTCATTGCAGCTTGATCATTTACAGACATGGTCATTTACGAATAGCTAAGTTTCAGTTACATTCAATCCTTTTTTTTTTTATTTGCAAATTTATTTTTATTTCCAAAACGTGTATTCGTTTTTCTCATTTTTTTCAAAAGTGACTACTAATTGTATTTTTTTTTTATCCATGTCGAACATTGAATAAAAGTGTTAGATAAATTCGATTTATTCATTCTATATGAACGATTCGTTATTTTATTCATTGTTCATGAGTAACCAATCATTCCGCATTGTTCTTAATTTAAGACGATGTAACATTTATCACACGCTTCCCTTGATACCCACACTGCGCCAGTGCGTTTGTTCACGACCACGACCGAGCGCGGCTGAAAGCCAACGCTCCTACGCGCGCTCTGATTGGCCAGTGTTTTTCGTTAATAACTCAAAAACGAAGTTTCAAACAACATTTTGGTAAAGGAAACGAATGATTGTTCAGAATCACCCCAGCAACCTCCCATTTCTGGGAATTGCAGGAGTTACGAGATACCCTGTCGATTCTTTTAAGTTATCCAATTTCGGGTGTCAAATTGATTTTGAAGAACAATTTGCTTCATAAACAGTAATTATTTAGGAAAAATTTCCTTTTTTTTCTATAATATGATTTGATGTCGAATTTATTCTGACGAAGAATATTCTTTACGTGGTCATAGGCAATTAATACAAATTCTTCGAAAATAATAATAATAGCAATATTTAAAAAAGTGCAAGTCCTGGAACACAAGAAAATGAAGCATTTTGTATTTTGTAATGATTCTAAACTTTTTTACACTTCCTTAATTATTTGTCTTTAAGAAAGAATATTCATTATCTAGTTGCTCTACTAATGCATTACTTAATTAAAAATACTATAATTAAATGACTCATCTTTCTTTCATCCTTCATTTCATTTCTCCAAATTATCAAAAAACCATTCCTTAATTAATTTTCTATATAAGATAAAATGTTCCTGCACTAACCATCCTTCAAAACAACTTATCTTTTTCCACCCCCATTTCATTTTCCAAAAGATCAAAAAAACATTCCCTAGTTACATGTCTATATAAAATAAAATTTTCATTACTCAAATCTTGCTTTACTACTGTAACAATTCATTTCACATGTTCCTATGAAAACATCCTACAAAGCAACACATCTTTTTCCACCTTCCCCCACATTCAATTTTTTAATAGCACCCCCTAATTATCTTCTTTCAAGATAAAATCTCTATTACTAAATTATTACACCGATGTAACAGTTCGTTGTTGAAAACAGTCTTTCTTTCAACCCCGTTACGCTGCTCTACACCAGAAGATTAAAAGAACCAACCCCTAATTATTTTTCTACAACAACGTTCCTATTCTTCTAAAAAACCCTCGTAAGATACACGAACGTCTGAAACAATTATTCGAACGGAAATGGAATAAAGCAACGTCGAAGGATCTCAGTATGACCGTAAAAATTTCGAAGGATTCGAGGGTGTGCTGTGCTGTCGCTTGGAACGAAGTACACGCTCGTACGGGACGTGAAACGAGCCCCGGAAACGAACTGCTCCACCGTGGAAACATTTTTAACCGGTACGCTCGTTTCTCTCTTTAAATCGCTCGATGCCGCCACGATACGTTACGGAGATCCATGGTAGAGGCTCAGAACGGTCCGCTCGTTTCTTCTTTCCAACCAACGGGGATCAATTGCCCGCTCTGACCACCTTTATTCCTTCCGGCTAATCGTACCGCGATCTTTGCTCGTTCGTCTTCCTCTGCGTTTTCCTACTCACCCTCTCGTGGTAACTGGGGTGAACGAGAAATAGCCTTCAGGGATGAGGATGACGCGCTGGTGAACCAAGGGTGCTCCTGTTTCCCCAGAAATTGTACTGGTGATTGTTAATTCTAGTTGTGGGTAATGAAGGGTTGATTGAAGGGGTGGAGTTATTAAAGTTGAAAAAAATGTAAGGAATTTTGTAGATTTCTTAATTAAAATTTTAATAGAACTTAGACAGAATGAACAGATAGGTGGCAAGGGCGGATTGATTATGGGGAGTTCGAGAAAATTTCCGGCGGAAGGGGGGGGGGGGGGGGGGGGGGGGGGGGGGGGGGTGTTGAGATTTGAGGTCTAATTAATTAAAATACGGCCCCTGTTTTACTCGAGAGCCCTGTATTTTACCAGAGAGCCCCTATTTTACCAAGGTGCTCTTATTTTGCCAGAAGGTTTCTATTTCACCAGGGGACCCCCATTCTGCAAGAGAGCCCGTCATATCACTAGTCTCCCAATAATAATTTAAGTCTCAGTCTACCCCTGGTAGTGAAATTCTTGAAGTCGAAGAAATTATTGATGCAGTATTGTAGATTTGAAAAATTGCTTTTCAGCTCATTGATCCAATATTTCGATAAATTTTTGAATTGAGCTATTTCTTTTTGATCAGTGTATCTTGAAGTAAACGAACAATCAGATTCAGCGAATTCCCATTTATTTAGATGTACGCTTTCAGAAAGAAGAAAAAACCATGTGGAATGTCTGAGAAACGCTCGTGCCGCAAATTCGATGATGGAAACTACTTAAGGACGAAGGATTTTGCAAGTATCGTTTCGAATATATCTCTCTCTCTCTCTTTCTCTGAAAGCGAAAGAAAAAACCGAAAATTTTTCTTAGAATTTCAGTCTACCAAAAGTGATTTCAAACATAAGGGTGTAAATTTCCTTTTTATTTTCCTGTCTATCTATTACTGTACAATATTTTTACATCCATGCAATTGCTAATTATCCCGATGTAATCGCACGAAGAATCAAGCTTTCCAATTAGTCTGATCAGGACATTCGTTCATTAGAACGAGTCTGATCAAAATCGTCCGTATCCACTGAGCGTAGTGTTCTCATTACACGCAGCACGGCTGATTAAAATCCTGCGTGTTTCACTAAGGTCCGAAGAGTGCGTGACGTTTACTACTTCGATACCTGTCGCATCACTCCATGGATTTGCATTCATGCCAACCGACCATTCAATGGTGGACACTGACAC